ATTCAAGGTGGATATTGCTATAGATAGATAGATCATTGCCTGAAGCTTGGACAGGATTGTTGCCAACTAAAGTGTACACATGCTAAATGTGGAGAGGAGGATGAGACGACGGAATGGCCCAATCACCAAGTTGCAAAGAGGCACTTCTTTCACGCAGATTGTGATTGGTAGCTGTAGTACCAGGTGGCACAAGCTGTCGCCCAACCATCTATTCATGCATCAGTTTCAGAAACTAACTGGCAGTACTGGGCACCATAGAGTTATTATAATGTACACTAGAGGTTCAAATGGTGCTAGTGTGCTGTAGCAATCAGTCGAAAACTGATTTCTGGTAATGCATTTCTATAGGAAAAAGTGAGTGCATTTTCTCTTTGCGCTCGATTATAAGAGCAAATATCCAGAATAATTTGTTGGTACTAGGTAGCTGGGAACATTTCTCAGTCAGGAAGACGAAATAATTGGTCAGGTACGGCGTTTTTCTTTCCAATTCATTGCATTAAAAATGGTACTAAAACGGCTTTGCACATGTATATATGTGCACTGTTGGACACTGCTAGCGCCAATTCGACATTGGCACTTTTCAGCATGGGGTATATACGTGCCAATCGAACGAAGGACATCTGGAAAACTAAGAGAGATGGCAAGAACTATGCAGTAACACTTGGAGATGAGCCTCCTTCAAGCATGCATATCGGTCCTGAGCCAGAGCCCTCTTTATATATATGTTGACGGTGCTTTATTTTGTTGCTTAGGGTCTCGATAACCTACGAAAATGATGCTTTGCCTCCAGCTCAGCATAGAGTGACATTTTCGCCGAGGCAGCAGCCAGGGTGGATTTGGGCATTGCGCCTCCTAGTGGCCCACAAAGATTTTTATAGTGCTGGATTTTTTTCTTTTTGTTATTGACCTTCAAGGTCTTCAAAAGGTTGTGTCAAAACATGAATAAATATGCTTGGATGCATATTCTGGAAAAACCAACCTAAGCTCTACCAGAGGGCTCGTGGGCAGATGTCACATCTAGTGAAGTGTTGCAGTTCATTGGACAACTAATCTACATAGATGTCGTGGAGGTTCCTCGGTTGCACTTTTATAAGAATGTGGGGGCCCTCTACAAAGGTGTTCTTCCTTCTAGCAGAGCTCAAAGATATAATGTGGGAGAGGCGAGTTCAACGGCAAGATTGGCTATATGACCAAAACATTCTCTACCAATGGAAGGACAAGCGTGTGATGAACATGATGAGCACTATCCACACAGCCAACAAACACGTCCAAGCCCTGTGGAATGAGAAGAGGGGATATGTGAACTAGAAGAAATGATGGAAAGCCCCTGCTGATTCATGACTACAATGTTGGGATTCTGGGCGTGGCCACGTCTGACCAACTCATTGGGTCGTACAATGACCTAATGAAATGCGTGAGATGGTGGAAAAAATTGTTTTTTCACTGAATTGTCATTGCTTGCATTCTTTGTATTCTTTTTCAAGCGTATTGCAAAGAACACCCAGACATCATGGAGCTGGCTTGATGTCCTTGGTTTGACCAGCTGGCTTTCAGAGGGGAGCTGATCCAGCAGCTCTTAATCAGAATGATGTGGAGCCAGTTTACGACCCACCCCCGCCCCCCGACCACCCTTGCCACAAGGCTGAAAAAAATTCAGAAGCGAAGGAACTGCAAGAAATGCTATGAAGAAACCATGCTCGAGCACAAAACTAATCTGTTTTTCTGTACATGTGAGGTGTACCTCTGTCTCACGACTGCATGCAACTGCTTCTCAGAATGGCACAGGCACCACAGAACCTTACATGATGACAAAGCAAAAAAAAAAGTTTCAGCTAGAGTGATCCAACTTGCAGAACTGGTAGCTGGTGGTATGGGGCACATTTTGTGTATTCTGAATTGTTCTTATTCATAGCAAACTTTGATGTAGACACACATTTAAAAAAAATTTAAGTGTTTTTTAACTATAATTTTATGTGTAGAAATTTAAATTTCCAGTCCTTTTTATTTTATAAACTGGAACTTTATTTTCTTTTAAAGGGAAACTGATTGGCTACATTTAGATATATTATCATGTGCCATAATTCAGTTACAAAAATTTAATTTTGTAAAGCCTTTAAAATTGGCTTTTTTTCCCCCACGGCATGGAAAGAATTAAAGGAACACTGACAGGGTACTTATCCAAGCCCATGTGTTTTTATTTGAACATGACGTATGAGATCCGAACTTCCCAGAAGACGATTTCTTGCTCAAAATTCGTGTTCTTTCCGCCCGAAAACCACCGGTCAAGAATCGGCCAGTTTCAGGCGCGCTCACTCTTTTTAATGGTCACGTGCCATTCAAACTGATGCATATTAAATATATTCAAAGTCGTGGGTCATTTGAGGTACACATTCAATATTAAAAGTAGGAAAGAGTCTGAACCCCATTTCTGTGGCCTACAAAAAACTGCAAATATGTTGATTAAAAAAAGCAATTGTTGCACAGATTACAGGAAGTATATATACACGTCATTCTCAATATGGTGACGCACCACGGGCTGTACGATGTGATGGTGGCGCACGACAGACCAACGTTGCAACGGATGTGGAACCACCACTTTGGAACTGTGGTCTGTGGTACCAGCCAAACGATCGTCAAGCACAAAACAGTGAGGGTAAGGGATATAAGTTTGAAACATCTGCACGACAAACGGTTCAACAACGTCCTCATTGCCGTCACCTGCTTTACACACCCGAGAAGCAGAGGAACTGAAAAAAAAACTGGGTAGGGAGCGATAGCCGTATGACTCCTGGCAGCTGTCTCCTCCGAGCCTCTGTGCACATGCTTTGGTTTTGAGCAGGTGCATTGCTTTACTTTATTAAGTATATATGTGACTCTGTAGCAAAATATTGATTGGGTAGTCTTCTGGCATCACACTAAATCACATAGAAAGAGGTATAAAAATATTTTTGGGGGGTGTCTGTGCCCTTAAACGAAAAGATGTTGAAGCACATTTCAATATTCAAAACATTATCAAGATCACGTCAAACTTTTCTTGAAGTTATGGACATGGGACGAGTAAATTGAGGAGCAGTCCTTAGTAATGACAGTAGTTTTAATGTCAGTATTTGTTCTTCAAGTATGGTACATGCAGTTGGACTAAATATTCTAACATTGTGCATATTATATTTGTTTAACCACAGCAAAAAAAAGAACAGCTTCATAAAGCTGTGTACAGGAATAATCGTCATCCACATTCATAAGTATATTGTCACGAATGACAAGTGACGAGGCAGCGAATGACTGAGTAAGCGCGGCAATATACAGTGGAATCTCAGTAATTTAAACTTACAGATAATTGAAACTAACATGCAGGTCCCATCCTATTTGTTTCTAGGAAGAAAACTCCCGGTAATTCAAACTTTGCATTATTCAAACAAAGTTTTGGTCACCCTCGGGTTCAAATTAACAAGATTCTACTGTAGCATATTTCTGCAGTTTCGTAAAACCTGCATCTTATATGCTTGCTTGGGTAAATGTATTTTGTAAACAAAACCTAAATGAAAGTTCATCTTAGATTTGTATCTGTGCAAAACATTTATTTTGTCGACAGGCAATCAAAATGTGCATTTAGCAAAGTTGTACCAATTCTTGCACCTGTAATCATCTGGATAGGAAATGGACAATGTGCAAAACTGGGGCACTCCTGACAGCTAAGGGGCATTCTGGGAAACAGCTTTCAGGGAAGATCTCGGTTTCAGTTCCTTCATTGTACTACAGCCAGTTATAGACACCGCAGACCTCGACCTCGGACCCCACCATGGCATATGTTGCCATAGTCTTCATGAACCAGATTGTGATCTATTCAGGGCCAAAGCAAACAATGCTGCAACATTGAAAGAGTGATAGTTGGAACACGGACATTCTGAAAGCCCGATGCTAATTTTGATGCTGCCCCTACTCGGTGCATTGAAGTGGAAAACACACTCACACCGAGTTGATGTGGAGTGCAGTACACCAATCGGCAATGAGTTTAGCTTCGTTGTTGCAACGTGGTTTACTTTGGCCTTGAATGTTTACTGTCTAATAAAGTCATGAAAAGAAATGTAAAGAACAACACGCGGTGCTGACATCGCGTCGCTCCGGTAGCGCTGCTATTGGCGGGACGCATGCCCAGACGCTCCACTTCATGCCAATCTAAATCCTGCGCACGTGCAGTGCCCCCCCCATTATGTGGAAACTGGGCGTTTGCCCACACCTCGTGAGGGCTTGTTTGTAAATGGCACATTGGTCTATACTTTTACAGCATCACTTGCACATGGAGATTAATCCACGAAAACTACAGTGAGGTATGCTACAGTGAAGTTCAGGTCCGTGGTTGACTGCAGTAAAATAGAGAAAACCAAAACTGGACTTTTTGTTGCCAGTCGTTTTCCAGAACTCTCCTTAGCCGCTAGGGTCACTCCGGTTTTTCACATTGTCTATTGAAATGACCTGAGAATGTCTTTGAGGACCTAATGTTCTACTTATTTATGTTCTGACTGAGAAGTGTAGCAGTCAAAGAATAAATGGTACACAACACTGTAGTTATGCCACGGGAGACATTTATGACCAAAAGTTCCTATGGTCTGCCTTCATCTACTGGTCAAAAGCATCTCCATTATGTTTTAGTAAAATTCATTTGGTTTTTGCCGACGGAGAAAAGAGTTAACTTTAATGGTGTTGGTTTAAGGATGCAGTGACTCCCAAGTTTCCACCATGCTTCTAACACAACATGAAACTTGTTTGCAACTGGTGATAAGTAGCCAGGGTTGCGAGCATTCAAGCAAATCCTGGTTATGACGTCGCAGGTAGGAACCATACAAGGGTGCCACCAAAACATCTTGCCGCCCGTGACGTGAACTTTTCAAACGTTCTGTATTGTAGGGTTGGAAGGTATTGAAGGAAGTGCCACCATGTTGGCCTAGAGCCCACTTTTGATTTGGTGATGATTAATTTTTGTCTGCTTTATCTGTTCTTAGGAAGAACTTCATATCTGCCAAGAGAACCTTAAAAAGGAGCAAGCCCTTCGACAACAGGCTCAAGACAAACTGCTTGAAGTAAGTTGCATGCCGCACGCTCCCTCTGTGCATCTGCATTGAAAGCTCTAATGTTTTCCATGTGGGGGGGGGGGGGGGGAGACGTGACCTTTGTCAGGCTCTAAGCAGTGCTTAATTAACACAATTTATATTGGGTGCATACAGTGGCATCCTTAGTTGGGCTCCATTACCTTCAAAAATAAACCTCTTGGACATTTTATAAATGCAATCATGACAGTGAAAGTAAATTTTTATGAGACACTATCCTCAAGTATGCTCGATACAGATTCCTGTCTGGCCCCTCAGCTTCACAGCTCATTGTCTGAAGAGAGAAAGTGTACCTAGTTTCTTTTCACGCCAACTCTCAGTTGAGTCCTCCTCATACCGTCGGATATGTCTTCTTACAATCTTGAGACTCATTCACTATGGAGTTTTGACCTGAATTTCAGACTCCAGTCTTATACCCTTTATGCCATTCTGCTGAACTGCATCGAGGCAGCATTTATATTATGGCAGAATAAGTGTGCCTCTGCTGGTTTAGTTCATCCCACACCAGATGAATGGTGCTGATTTGTGCAGCCTTTGGTAATGTTCGGCATTCTCCAGCATGGCAATAGAGTGCTGCAAACTTGAGCCCTGTTTACTGCAAAAGTAAGTTCCAAATATTTTTAAAAGTAGCTGGAGTCGGGGGAAGTATGGTACCTCTGCTGGGTGTTGAGTGTCAGCGCAGCATGGACTAGAAGGTCAGGAGACCCGACTGCTTCTCTAAGTCGACTCGTGTTTGGCTCCCCGCACTAGCATTCTGTAACTAATCTGGCTTCTTTTCCACCGTTGCTCCCATTGCCTGACTTGTTTGCCAGGCATGTTATTTTCAGTTTTTTACAAATTTTCTTCCTGTTAAAATTTGAAAACTGATGCCACAATTGCTTCATTTTTTTTTTTTTATCATAAGTTTTGTTAACCCTATTTTCTTGTGCCCAAGTTGCATTCTTTTTTTTTTTCTGCTGGCACTTTTTGTTTGATGGTGCTACCTAAATAATTTTTACAGCGAAGCTGCTCAGGGCTAGGTTTTCTGGGGTCATGTCCGGTATGTCGACACAAACCTTCCTGGACAACTACCGCCATCTGTAAGCAACGGCAGCAAGCACACAACCAGTATGGTTGCCGCCGTCGCTCCTAGATGGCGGCAACTTTTCCAGCTATCATAGAAGAATTGATAGTTGGGTGCGTTGGTGGGGATTCATCGTAGGAAACAGCGCGAAAAACAGATGACGACGAAGAAGCACACGTAACGAGCGCAGCGCTTTTCACGTTTGTTTCTTCATCCTCGTCTGTTTTGTGCGCTGTTTCTTACACTCCTATCAGTTTCGGTTTGGACTCACGATGGGTCGGCCGCACGCCCTTTCGGGAAGAGGAGACGGGCTGCGGAAGGAGTGGCGACGTACGCAGCAGCGCGAATGGGTCCGCAACCGCCGCAAAGCCGCTGTCGCCTCGACTTCCACTGCATCCAGGGCTTCAGATTCCCTTGCCAAAGAGCACATCGCTCGCCTGGAAAGCCGCCATCGAGAACAGAACCAGCGATGTAAAGGGTGCCGGCGGGCCAACGCCACAGACAACGATCGTGCCACGGAGGCTAAGCACGAGGTCCGGCAACGACTGTACTCCACGCCAGCTGAACAGTTTTCGGGTGCGACGGCAAGGTTCCGGAGGGAGTTCGTGGAGAACCCGTTTGGCTTCACGTGCGCCGTGTGCAGCCGACTCTGGTTCGCCGGAGACGTATCCGCGATCGGCGGCGTGTCGGACGAAAAGAAGCGGGAAACGGGCGCGTGCGCGTTACGGCGGTGTATTGAGTACAGCTCCGCTGGGTCTTCCTTCTTCACAAGAGTGGAAAGCCTGAACGTTTTTTTTAAATAATTATGAACCTTAATATTGTGCAAGATGTAGACTGTATCAACATTAACGACCAAGAGGATTGGTGGATCACCTGCCGATAGCCTACTCTTCCGGAAGGCCATCATAGCGGCGCTTGATCCTTCAGGAGTACCCTTCGAGTACTGCAGATTGGCTTTCCCTCATTATCCACATCCGGCAATATGGTGACTTCCTGTACAAGTGATGACTGGCATATCAAAATAAATTTCCTAGGGGTTATATTTTTTATTTGATTCATTGGGTGAGGATGTTAAAACTGGCTCCAGCTTGCACTTGTATCGCGATCACAGTACGCAGGCGTATCAACACTGAATGTACAAAAATGTGAAACTTACAAACCTTTCCGGGAAAATACCCGTTTATAGGGAGTGCAACTTGTAGACCGTAAAAGTTATATAGCTCAGTTGAATTACAGCTTTATTATTGCCCTTTAGGAGCATATTGTAGAGAGCACTGGCTATTAGTTTGCTTCCGTCACTAATGATGCAATGTCCTTGCCCAGCTGTTTGAAGAAAATCGCCAGTTGCGGGCTGGGCACAAGTGGAATCAGCCAGGGTGCACTGTCATCGAAACCTCTCTCCTGAATTACATCGAGAACACCTTCACCAGGCTTCTCCAGTTTTTGAAAGTAATGAACAAAAAAAGGTGAGGAGCCTACCTTGCCTACTTATTAAAAATGCTAAAAGTTCAGGTATCTGATGAATTTTCACAAGGAACCTACCTAGTTCCAACCGAGAATTTTGTTCCCATATCCTGTTGCAGGAAGGCTCATTGAAGTTTTCTTTTCCCTTCGGAAATAGTCTAGAGGCTATTAGGGAAAGTCTGAAAATGTCAAAGTGGGCTTGGGCACAGGCTTTTTTTAGAGCGCAGCTTCTAGGCGCCCGTTTCTAGGTTGAGCGGCGTCAGCATAACCACGCACGTTGCATTATGAGAAATTTCCAGCTAAATTTAACAGAAAAATTTTTCCGGTAAATTTAGCAGGTTAAGATTCCCCACTAAATTTAACAGGGAAATTGATGTCACATGACCTCGACACCAATTCAGTTTCCCCGCTAATTTTTGCAGAGACATCTTTGCTAAATTTAGCAGAAAATTTAGCGAAAATTTTCTGCTAAATGGGAGGGCAGCGGGCGAGGAGGAAGGGCAGGTACTGAGGGGGAGGAGGGGCATACCGCCCATACCCTCCCCTCCTCCTCATCGAGAGCTGCGCTCTAATTCGGCAGTGCAGAAAATTGTAAACGTCTTTAATTTTTTTTTTTATTTTATTAAAACATTTTTTAAGCAAATGTTATGATTTATATTTATTTTTCAGTCCATTTTTAGACGACGTTCATCCCAAGAAGCCCGAAAGGAGTGAAAACGGAAACAAAGTCATCCGACGGGAGACCAAGACACTTCTGGAAGGAAATCCTTCAATGAGAAGCGCGAACCAAGACTCTCAAGCTCGCGTCCTAGCTGAGCCAGAAAACGGCAGTGTGCCTAGTGCAGTAACCTCGGCGTCAAAGTCTTACGCACCCTTGAACCCGCACTTATTCCAATCGTTCATTGCAAGCAGGGCCGAAAAGATAATCTCCGACATCAAGAGCAGGCAAGGCAGCATCAGCGACCGCAGTGCCACCGGCACCTCATCGGTTGTTGAGAAACAGAGCAGAAAATATCACAAAGGCACTTCGTATGCAGCTGACCCGTCCAAATTCGCACCATCGTATGTGGAAAACCGTTCGACAACAAACGCCGCCGGTGGACAATCCCTCCAAGATACCTCTTCGAAACATCTTGCAGAAATCTTGGGTATGGGTAACATTCCGTCCAAACTTCACCCAAGTCCCACCGGGTCTCCCGTGTTCTCCCTCCTCGAAAGCGAAGCAGCCTCCAGTCAGTACAAGTCCGACTTTTTGCCTAGCAGCTCGAGAGTGTCGACCTTGTCAAAATCGGACGAGAAAGACCGTCTCGCCTCTCGGCACGGCTCCAGCACCTCCTTGCAAGGACTTACGAGTCGTCATCCAGCTTCGAAAGAGCACCACAACACAGAAGCCAGTGCAAAATCATCTTCGAAAAACTCAAAATCCTCGCAGGGCACTAGTGTGGCATCCTCAATCTACGAAGAAGTGACCTCCGAAGACTCCATTCTTTCCAGCAGCAAGGATCGGTCAGCGCGTTCCAAGTTCCCAAAGGACACGGGCACAAAGGAAAACTCGGGGATGACACCGGTACAGCGCGAGGGACCTCCCTCCATGACTCCTTCAGTCAGCCTGTCGCATCAGCCGAGCAAGTCGTTTGATGTCAACACTGCCGACATCACCGTAAGTAGCATCTACAGCAGCACTTCTAAGCACCAGGAGAAGCCCAAGGGTCCAAACAAGAGCTCTTCTTTGCGACACAGCACACCTACTTTTGCTGGAGACCTTCACCATCAGACGGCACCCACGCCTTCGGGTCTCAGTTTGTCTCAGATTCCGTCGGAGTTGTCCACCCCCTCCACCCCAGACACCTTGACATCGCCCCAGCTTGCTGGCAGTGACTTTGATGGCTTCTAATTTGTGGGTTTTTACTTCTCATTAATTGTTTCAAATGTTCTTAAACATCATCATGGAATTAAAGATGAGTTGCAATTATTTTACTTCTGTATAACTTTGTATACACACAGGTTTAAATAAAGGATACAGAAAATGCAGGTTTCATGCCTAAATTACCTTGATATTGAAGAAAAAAAAACAAATCATGGTTGTTTTTTTTTTGGTTTTTTCTTATTACATAGCAGTACACTGTGCCTTATCGTGATTTTTTTTTTTGGGGGGGGGGCTATTTTTTAGGGCAAAGTTTTTCTCCTTTTAGGCACTACTGGCATAAGAATGGTTGTATTCGAGAAGTAATAAAAAATCAATACGCCTCGCAAGTGGGCTCATTTTCGTCTTCTGCGCATGAGAAAGAAAGTAGCAGTGACGTCAGAACGCCGAGCCCTGATTGGCTGATCGCGACCCCCTATCTGAGCATCGTCTGCTCCTTTGCAACGTCGTCTGCGTCTGTCTTACCTTTCCTGCGACTTTCGGAAGTGCAGGTCTTTACAAGCGAGCTCGACTTCGCGTTTCAGAGAGGGCAGACGAAATAACTCGAGCGGTACGTTGTTTTTGTCTGACAACTAGCAGACGCGCATTAAGGAGGGAAGTCAAAGGACTCACTGGCGAGGTGTCCCGAGGCGCCGAGGTTTGTTTGCTAAGAACCGAGAGTGAGCGTCTGCAAGTTCCCTCCCAAATACTTTTTCCCTTCTTTCGTGTGCGGCGAGACTCCTCACTCTTTAACGGCGTCGGCGGGTTGGCGCAGTTAACGTCGTCTGCTTTATGTCTGATAGTTAAAGCGATGGCTGCCTTACCTTTCCTGTGTCTGTCGGAGATTCACTGCTTTTTTACCGGCGAGAGTCACCGCTGCCTCAGAAAACAAGGAGATGACAAGAGGAAGAGATTGACCTCTTAATCTAAAATTAAGGTCAGCGATCAAAGTATAATACGGGAAGGGTCCACAAGGGCCGCGCGCATATTCCATTCAGCACGCCAGCCGGTCATGGGCAGACGGTATTGGCCAAGGACCGTTGGAGCACCGCTCCGCCGAGTCGGAGTGCCTGCTAGGCCTATCTGCCGAGTTCGCTTGGTCGGGGTCGGTGGAATTGTGGCCGTTGGAGCATTTCCCGGGTGTTTGTGGATCCAGCGTTCTTGTTCGTTGTGGTTTATTTCAAGTAATTTTTGCTTTTTTTCTTGCTGCTTGTAGTCGGGACGCGCGAGAAGAGCACGTACAAAAATAAACGTCCGTTGGTCGTCGCAACCAAGTAACTGAGCGACGCTGTCGGTTATGCTGATTTGATGGTTAGAAGTGCGTAAGACAGCTTCGGAGCTGTCGTAGGATTCCGTCGTAACCTGCGCAAATCTAACGATTTCGTTTTGTGAATACGAATTTGTTCTCACGTTTTGTCTTACGCACATTTTCGGCGTAAGATCGTTTCATGAATCTGGCCTCTGCACTTTCAAAAGTCGCAGGAAAGGTAAGATAGACGCAGACGACGTTGCAAAGGAGCAGACGACGTTGCAGAGGAGCAGACGACGCTCAGATAGGGGGTCGCGATCAGCCAATCAGGGCTCGGCGTTCTGACGTCACCACTACCCCCTGCGCAAGAAGCAGACGAACTTGACCTCTGCATAGCTTCCAGGAATACGCTATTTTATTTAAATAATTTCGAGGAAGAAAAAACACGTAAGTTTTTATAGCTTTTACTTTTAAAGACCTACCTTCAGAATTGTTTTCTGCAGGAAGAAAACTGGTTGCCAGTTTCCTTCTCTCCATTCCCTCTCGCCATCTTACCTCTTCATCGCTCCTCTCTCCACAGGAACGGGTATCTGAGCTACTTTCTACAGAGGGGAGGGGGGTCGCCTTTTAAACATGTAAACACAAACAGGCAAGTTTTCTTTTTACTTCTTTTTTTTTTTTATGCTGCATTGAACTTAATTTGAGGGAATATGTGCTCATGGACTTTCTTGTTGCATTGTTGTTGGGATATGAATTGAGGAAGTTCGAACTTTGATAGAAGCAAAGATGTGTCTGATCCTATGCCACTTTTTGTGCATTGCTCTCTAAGCAGCGAGCGTACTCGATACGCGCAATGTGACGGCAATGAGTCCTGCCTGTAGAGCAGTATTGCTCCGCTGAGATTCAGGTCATGTGTGGCCTTGATGTACTTGTATTTTATTTATTTATTCAGAAATGCAAAAGCTTTATTGCAAGCCGCAAAGTTACGCTTTCGCAGTGTGCTTTCGTAGGAGTCTTAGCTGTCTTCGCTTTTGTAATATTGAGGCGTGTGCAAACAAGCTAAAAAGAAACAAAGAAAAAAAAGTACTGCTCCTGTCGACTTGCTTTCACTTATATACAGCCATAATATCACGACGTTCAATTTTGTTCTAATTCCCGTTTTGGGTGACTCAATCTATCGAGGAAGTCACCTATTAAAACTCCCTAATGCTAGAACCACAAAACCACGCACGCATGCACATTCCGGCGGCGTCGCCCATTTTAGCCGTCCAAGGGTTGCGCATTTGGCCACAGTGGCGCTTTCTGGAACCCTGCCCAGTTGGAGGAGGCGTTGGCTCCGGGGACATCTCGGCATGCCTACAGTGCAGTGCAAGCGTCATGTACTCGCCGCACTACGCGAGTACAGGTAAGTGCGCGTAGTGCACTTACATGTAGTAGTATTAAATATAGTATTAAAGAAAATGCGGACACCCGAGAAAATAAAAAAGAGCAGGGCCTGCGTGGGCCTGCGGAAAACGAGGGGTCTTATATGCCAAAGAGGTGACCGGCGGGCCGGGCGCGGGAGCCCCGGACGTAGAGAGAGACATCCGACGCGGTCGGTGGTTGAATCGTAACTGTTTATTGAACGGTCAACAACGTGGGGTTGAGCGCCACGGGGACGTAACCCTGATAACACGGGTGCAATGGTGGAACAGTGGCGCCATCTGGTTAGTGTGGCGAGAAATACTTAAATGAAAAAATTGAAATACTACATACTCGCCCTACGCGCACTTAGCGGAGCCTCTGCAATATGACTGTGAACGGAATTTTAGAATAGAGGTCCACGTTAGGAAGCCCCTAAGAAATAAAGGACATGAGCGCAGCGCTCGTGCTGCCGTCTTTGCGTTTTTCGCTTGCAGCGCCAATACGACTAAGAAGCGAAATTATTATAGTGGAAAATATTAATTGGGTAAGGTAAGGTAAACTACGTGCTCCGAGCTGCAGTGCGTTAACACTAGTTCATACACTTGGCCACCGACACCCCCTCTGGAGCCCACGCGTAGTCCTTGGGCCCGTTCAGTCTCGCGCTTGTTATAAATGAAGGTAAAAGTTTCATTCATTAGGAGTTTCCAGGAAAATCCAGGAGACGGTGACTCTGCCCACGCGTTTCGAAAAACTCTAAACAAACACTGCAAAAAAAATAATTATTATTTATTGCAAAATTAAACGGCACACCGCCAAACGCCACGGTCCGAACCAGGTGCCAAAGTTTCCGAATTAGTGCTATTCTCTGGACGCCATATTTGAGGGCGATGTTTAGAGTGCATTCTCAGAACGAGCTGACATTAATAGCCTGCTAAGATCGGCAATCTTGATGGTGCGGAACGCGCATTGCAAAAGCTCAACATCAGCACGCGGTCAGAATTCGCGCACAAAGTCATGGCCCCAGTAAATACTCCCTATAAGTTAATTTTCTGACAATTTCAATGGGATAATGGGGCCTGTTATTGGGATTCGTTATGAAACTGCCATCTTGTTCGAACGGCAGGTGCAACATTTGGACAAAGAATCGTTTCGACTAAGTTTATTTTTAAAATAAAAAAATGAAAAATTATCTTTTTCTTTTGGTTGGGGGGGGGGGGGGGGGGGGGGGGTGCATCTAGTGCAGTCTAATGTTTATCTATCACTTTACATTTTTGGTTTCACAAGCTCCATGTGGTCATAAAGCTAGTCGGCATGTCCACGCAGCCCCAAAAGAAAAGTGCAACGTCCAAAACCGTCTTACTCCGTTTCACTTTAAAGGGATCCTTCAACGAAATTTGAAATATACCCGTCGTGTTCAGAAATAGGCTGAATATATGATCCACAATATCCGTAAACGGCAACCGCACGCTTGTATTTTGAGCTGTATTTTTCGTTATAATAGACCCACTTCATAGCACGCGCTCGTAGAACACCCAGCGGAGAGCACGTGACATTCGGCGCAATCTTTATGTCGCCTGTCTCGGGACGAGCAAAGCTGCGGCGAAGCTGACGTTGACAAGACTAGTGCCACTAAATAAGCGCAGCTCATTTACTGGCTCTAAACGAAACGATTGCAAGCAGGGCACCTGGCCGCCGCAAGGGTGCCTCAATGTCCTTCTGTTTAGGGTGATGCCATCGTTTGTAGTACCCGATGCCGACAGCACGCGCTCACGGGTAAAATACAAAGAAATCGCAGGAAACAAAATGTCGCCGTAGCACAGTCAGCGCCAGGAGCGCGTGCAGGGACACGCTCTTTCACGCGCTTCAGAACAAAAAATAAAAATAAGCGTTCGAAACAAAATGGCCAGATGTCATCACCCCAAGCAAAGCGCACATGAAGGCACCCTAGCCGCCGCCATGTCTTTGCTCGTGCGGGAAAATGCGTTCAATTACAATCTTGCTCTTGCCAAAGGTTCACGCGCACGCTGCACATGCTTGCACGCAGGGTGCAGCATTGATTTTCCCAGATGGATATTACAAAAGAGGGTTTAGCGACATCCACCAGGTATCTTTTGCTAATCGTGTAATTAGTTTTAAAATTATTTTACGCTCCTTTTTTCAACGAGAGATTGGGGTGTCCGATGTGATACTGCTCCCTTGAACAAATAAGAGATAAGCGCCGAAATTTTGTTGTAGTATCCAATGCAAGCGAGGCCAAAGCTACAAGCGCGAGCATGTGGCCCTGAACAATGCGTGCACTGCATGTGTGTCCGCTTGACAGGGACGCTGAAAGCCCGGAGCTCGCTCTTGTAGCTTCTGTCACGCCTACATTTCAAGTGAAACGTAGTATTCGCGTCGAGAATAAAGTCCCTCGATGTGTGGTGTAAAGCCTGGTTCAGACAGTTGCGTTTGACTGCGTTTGACTGCGTTGCGGCAGCGAGAAACCAGGACATCCCTGCTGCTTATATCGCGTGCCAAGATGATTCCTTGGATTGGATTCCACGCTTCATACGAAGCACAGATGTGCCGGTGACTAGCTTTCCGAACTCGACGCAACGCAGTCAAACGCACTCAAACGCAAGTGTGTGAACCGGCCTTAAAGGCCGGTTCAGACACTTGCGTTTGAGTGCGTTTGACTGCGTTGCGGCAGCGAGAAACCAGGACATCCCTGCTGCTTATATCGCGTGCCATGATGATTTCTTGAATTGGAGTCCATGCTTTATATGAAGCACATGCAGATGTGCCGGTGACTCGCTTTCGGTTCTCGACGCAACGCAGTCAAACGCACTCAAACGCAAGTGTCTGAACCGGCCTTTAGTCTTTAAGTAGCGTCAAATGCGCCAGTGCACGAGGCGCGTGTCGCGAGTGGCCCTTGGAAGCAAATGGCAGCGCAGCACTGAAATGAGCTGCTCTTGGAAGCGAGCGGCGGCGGAGCACCCGCTCGTGGCACGTGTCTTTCGCGCGTTTCCACAACAGTGAGGGACTTTGGGCGAGAAGTTTGGGCATCGCCGCCTGGTGGAATTTTGTTGTTTCCCGAAGTCGAAGCACCTCGGCGACCTCATTGCGTTTTTCGTTGTCGTCTTCCACCGTCAGTGCGTACGCCATACTGACAACCATGGCTGTTGCAACGGAAGGCGGTCAGCACCCGGTCAACGCATCCCGCGGCGCTCGGTCTTTTGAACTTTCACTTCAAACGTGGCGACATCTGATCAGAGAATAGATCTGCTGTCTCCTGAGAACCCTGCTGCGCGACCGTTAAGAACGTGAAAGCGAGGACGAGGAGCTCCTTCAAGAACAAGCCAGCGAGGTGTACGTGAGTCCAGTCACACTGCGAGAATGAGTAGTATGTGGGGCGCTGCAATTGCGAACAGATTGGCATCTAGGTTCGGGGCACGTTCTATAAAGTCACAGTCAGACGTTGCTCACACATCATACAAACGACACGGTGTTTGCTGCAGACATGTTGAAAGAATTATATATGCGGACACGCGCCTCACGCATTTTTTTTTTTTAAGTATGTTCGCTTTACAACAGTGTATGCTTCGTCTGAAGACAGTTTTGACCATGTGATAGGTAGGACCGCCCTACAAGGAAGAAACACGCCTCAATCAGTATCTGCAGGCTGTCCTTAGTATTATGTTTAAAAGCACCACCCACAGCGTCTCATCCTGGTTAGAGGGCTCTGGATTTGTTATCGTTGGAATATCATGGTGGGCGATCAGCTTGGCCACGTCGTTGACCTCTCAGGATTTCTGCCAGAAGTGCTAGGTATATGTGTATGCAGACTACCATCGAAATAAGGCGTAATCAAAAAACAAAGGGCCTCGAACATAATTGGCAGATGATCGGCTTATTTATATACTCATTGAATGATTAGGTGACAACTGGATGATTTGCATCGCTAAGTATAATATAAGCCAGGTAAGATTGTGAAAACCCGGGACCGATGAAACAGTTGGGGTACACATATATATATGCATGGCTTGCACGTGACATCCTCACGCCGTACCAGTGGTCATTCCTATACTTGTCTTTGTCGAGAACGACAAAATTTGGTGTGCATGCTACAGAAGGTACGCATACAGCAGCAGGGTCGCTAAATGTGACGTCGCTACAAGCCATGTGCACATGGCTTGCACGTGACGCGTCATTGCGCCATGCTGGTGGGCATTGTTCTTGCCAAACGAAGCATATTCCGTGATACGTAATGCACGCTGTCCTAGAAAGTGCGCGATCAGCAGCGATGTCCCTCACAATGGCCGCTGGTGTGACGTCAATGCTGTGAACAACGTCTGGACCACGGCAGATGTGCGGCACCGCCTCGCCATGGAACAAGTGTGTCGAAGCTTCGCTTGGCTAGAGCGAGGGTTGCGCGTCTGTCTTCCACGTGCCGCCATGCCGCTATTCGCCGAGATCCATCACATGAGGATCGAAAAATCCTTCGCCGTGCAGGAAAGTAGACGTTGCACGCGCCCTGGCGAATGTTCCCCTGTTTTTGCCTCCTCCTCCTTTCTTGTTTTCCATGCGCGGCGGCGCTCGCGACGCCGCTATTCGCCGAATTCAGCCACGTGACCGTCCGCAATCGACGGAGCACGGCTCCTACACGCACGAGGAGTGACTTTTCCGCATAACTTATGATTTCAAGATGGCTCAACGCGCAACTCTGGCTCCCGTAGGGCAGACGCCGTGGGATGCGCAACATGACTAGGGGCCAGAGGAACTGTCCTCATTCGCGTATACTCGTTTTGAAGGGCGCGAGGCGCGCGACCGCGCCTGCGCGAGGGCCCTAAACCGACACTGCCCCTGCCGGTAGGTGCGCTAATCGAGAGTGAAATTTCGACGCCCTTTCTTGCCTTTTTCAGACACCTCTCTCTTCTTCCGCCGTGGTCTGGACTTGTGCTTCCTGTATTTATTGTGATTGTTGATAAGTGGGTAAGTTCCTCTTCCGTTAAATTCGGAACCCGTTTATTCTGAGTTAATCTTTTTTTTTACAAAAATGTGGAGTTTATTAGAGTTTGTTTCTGACCATATTCACAATTTTCCGAAATTCGGAGTTTAATTTTGCTGCAGGCATGTAGCCAGGATTTTGTTTCCGGGGGGGGGGGGGGGGGGAGCGGGAGCGGGAGCGGGCGGGCGGGCGGGCGGGGCGGGCGGGCCGTTTATGACAAAATGCGCTGCATGAGGGGGAGGGGGGAGAAAAGGCCCCCCTGGCTACGTGCCTATTTTGCTGTACTCCCAGTGATCCAACATTTAAAATAAATATATGAAAATACCTAAACACCCACATACCCTAAATTCACTTGTATCGCAATAAATGTATTTAGTTCGATTTGGCTTTGGCGCCCCTGCCCTTGGAAGTACAAACACCGTGCCCCACGACAAAACTGGCAAAACAGTCTTGCTCGAATAAACGTCGATACTTTAAAACCCCTCAGCACCAGGGCATAACCGTTAGGAAGCACAGAAGCTTCAACTGCCCTGCCTCCATCCTATGAAATGTATGGGTTTATATTTTGCCGCACGAATAGTGTGGTCCAAATTTGCGGAAACCAGAGCAGTGGCTTTTGCCGTGTGACCTAGAAGTACAATAGGACTCGTTTCTTCGTCGAATCTTGACGAGACGGTAAACCCGCTTTGGCCAATAGTCCGAGATTTGAAAGAAAACTGAAGTTGCCTCTCCTCGGGATCAGTGACCCTGTGCTCCAACCAAACGTAACGTCCTCTTTTTTTTTTTTTTTTTTTTTTGGGGGGGGGGGGGGGGGATAAATTTAAGCTGGCGAAAATTTTACCGTCGAGTGTTTTCGGAATTTATCGGATTTATCCGAAAACACGGAACCGTATCTACCCTGTTGCAGGTTAATTAACAGCCAGGCGCCCATGCTCCTCCTCTATCCTTTCCACTTTAGCAGGCTGAAGGCTAGAGAGGAAGCAAAAGGAGGTGAGGAGGGGCTCGCCTCCCCTCCAGCATTCGCTCTGCAAGTGGAAATAGTGAAGGGAGACCTTGGTCTGCTCTTCTTAACCTGCCACACGGTATAGTGATACGTATAGGACTAACTAAGTGTTTCGGAGTTTATTTCTCGTGAAATTCATAGGTTCTTTATTGGAGTTCATTGTCTCGCCGAAAATTCTAAGCTTATACGAGTTTTTTTTTTTTTTTTTGATAATTCAATTTAAAAGCAAATATTATCCGGACATAAAAGCCTGTCCTAAATTCATAAGAAGTCACATGTATCGAATGTTATTTCTTCAGCTAGATTGTAAATTCGCACCCTTGCCATTGGTAGTACTAACTGTCGCACAACAAAACTTGCAAACGAGTGTTGCTTTAATAAACGTCGATACTTCTCTTGACGCAGTCCCTGGAAAGTTCGTTTTCTTCCCATCCTATTCCACCGCCCACGGGGTGTAGTCCGGCAAGATGAAACCAGCCGCTCCCCTCCCTCCTATTATCATAGCTTTTATTGCTATAATAAAAACAGAACCCGGCCTTTCTGTAATATATGTCAAAACTAAAACAGGCAGTTTTGTCGTCACCAAAAATTGCATTGACCCCCAGAACAAAATATGTCGAGATGAACGCTGAACTCAATTTTGTCAATAATTCGAGATTTTAAAGGAAAGTGGAGAGCCTTTCATTTGGACCACTGATATCCTATAGCGACCAAACTTGTTTTTAAAATACTGTTTTCGTTTTTTCATTGTAAAACTAAGATTTTGATTTTTTTTTAAATTATTATTCTGACAAGGCCGATTCCATCAAGAGTTCAGCGCAGGCGTGAAGACACCTTCAGTTCACAAGAGGCAGGAGGCAGTTCTCAAGATGCCTCGTGCCGTCTCGTGCTCTGCCCGCGCAGTGCTCCAGCGAGGTTGGGACGTTGGGGCACGTGCAGGGACTAAACTCTCCTCGATGCATTGCCGCAGGGGAGGCGTAAACTCACTGAATCCTGGGAAAGTAGCGCCATTGCCTTCCGTATACCTGCTAACCAGACACAAACAGATACTAACATACAGCCGATCAGGCCCTCACAAGGCGATTGGCTAATTTGTCTACGTTGCCATGGAAATCACCATCTTGGCCCATTCAAATCTTCGAAGCTTCCAGAAGGTCGTTCTAAACCAGTCGAGCCAAGATCACAATGGAGCATCATCGTACTGGAAGCGTTCCTCGCCAATATAAACGTCTTTGGCACTGTGTAGGCAATCAACTTATCAATCATGCCCATCTCCGCGGATCTCTTACAATTGTATCGTTCTTTTTGCGTATTTTAAAACAGTAAACTGATTTTTCTGTGCCTCCAAGCACCGACACGGCATGTCGTGATGGTATACGGTGTGTGGATAGAAAAATCTCGATATACAAGAAACGTATCCATAAAGCTACCGTCACCAGCAAATCTAGATCGGCTCACCAAGAACGGAGGGGTTACGGAGAAATTGCTCATCTCAAGGACCAAAATGGCGACCATACGGGGAACTTGGTGCTACTTTCCCAGGATCCAGTGACTTTAGGGTGGCGTAGCCAAAATGGCTGGCCAACTCGGTCTATTGACCTAAATTTTACTGACGAGCAGCACATGTTTTTCAGATTTTATCGAATTTATCCGAAAACACGGAACAGCGATAACTGATAAGGCATACTCTTCGACCGGGGACGCGTCCAACGTACACCGTGTGCTGTCTAAAGAAGACACGTTTTCTGCTTGTGAAGTCACAACACATGCTGTACCGGAAGTGGAGCTTTTCCTCCGGTTCCAGTCCCAAAAACAAGAAAGGGAAGACAGCGAGGACGCGAGGAGAAAAGCCGCGCTGCTTGCGTGGTTATTGACATGTCCAAACTGAAAACGAACGCACTCGCCGCAACTTTCACGTCTTTTGAGGGAAGCGTGCGCTTTCTTTGGCCTGACGGCATTTTTTGTATTCTGTTTCGACAGCCTGTCGTGGTATAGCCTGGCGGCTCTGGTGGCCGACTCCGACAGCATGGCCAGGGCGCCCAGAAGTTCGAGCAGCTCCTCGGACGACGATGTGTCATGGCGGTTCAACCTGTTCAAGTGGACCTGGAAGGAACGCACAGAGAACAATGGACAGGGCGGGCACACCAGCCGAAACAACACCACCCAAAACACCAGTCGTACTCAGCAGACGACCGAACCGACGGACAAGCCGGCGGCTGCCGATGCAAGTAAAACCGCACGGATTTCTTTCGGCTATGCTTCGTTTTAAGTCCGACCGCAGCCGACGGTATGCGGAGCGGAAATTCGTCTGCTTCTTTTACAGGGGTTGTGGTGACGTCAGAACGCCTGGCTCTGGTGGGCTCTGATTGAAAGGTAGTGACCTCGAGGCAGCTTGCTTTGAGATCTACGCACTATCCATCAATCAGAACCAATCGGAGGTCGGCGTTCTGAAGTCACCACAAAACCTGCAAAGGAGGCAGACGGACTTGTGCTCCGCATACGATTCACGGGGCCAATCAAGCAGCGCCATAAGGGCCATGGCGCTCGTTGTCTTTTGGGGTTTGCTATCATCGGCTAAAGCAATCGTGTACAGAAAAAGCGCAGGATCATGGAGCATTCACTGTACGCGGGACAAGAAAAAACAATCTACGAAAACTCCGTAAAGGGCGCTTTCACTGGCGTAATTTGATCCACCATTTTGTTGTTGTGAGCTGTCTGGAGCGTGCCGAAGGCGAGCATTCCAAGGATACATGACCGCTTGAAATGCGTAGTGCACAGAACCTTATAATCTTCTCAACAGGCTGCGATGTAATCTTTGAGATCAGTAAATTTGTATGAAAAAAACAAAATAACAACAAAACGGATTGAGGTCATGTGAAAACGCCCTATTATGATATGCTTGCGTGAGATGCTACACGTTCCTAACAACCCAGCATGGCCGCAGAACCTGACGCTCGCTAGATGGTGCTACCTACGATAGAACGGTGTATACTCCGTGTCACTAGATGTGTGCAGTGCAGGCGAAGACAACGCCATGTGAAGTAAGAAAGGCGAGCACTAGGAAGGCGGGACGGGAGAGGAGAGCGAGGGGATAAAGGGTGATCACTAAAGCCCCTTTATACAGAAAAGTAGCGACATCCTTTGAAGATTGCCGCCTGCTATCTTGGGCCAAACCGGGCGGCGCTACTATCGACGCGAGGGTGGAAAAAAGCGAAGCATAAAGATAAAAGGTGTGTGCGTCAGAGGAGGAGGGAGAAGGAATGCTTATGCTGTCGGAGTGCAGTGCATGGTATGAGCTTATGTCGCCAACCAAATAATGCCGACTGTGCAACATCACGGCTTTCATCGTTTTTCTTGGAGCACATCCTTCGAGGCTGGTAGACCGTGACAGCGCGCTTTTAGCCTGTATGTATGTATTTGCGTGTCTTTCAGCCTTTGACTGCACTCCGTCTGCTATCTTGGGCCAAACCAGACGACGCTACAGTCGACGCGCGGGTGTAAGAAAGCAAAACATAAAGTTAAAAGGTGTGCGCGTCAGAGGAGGAGGGAGAAGATGTTGCTACCTTTTTTTATTCAGGGGCATTAGTGAGCACTGGGAACGTTAGAGAGGAGAGGAGGTTTTGCTTCTGCTTCCCAGCCTTCCGAGTGTTTGTCCTTTCTCCCCTCGCCTAGCGTTGCCTTCGCCTGTACTGCACGCAACTAGTGAATCGAGGAGGTGTTGACGCGCTTCCTCGCTCGCCTCCTCTCCAGCGTTCGCTCGCTAAAGTGGAAAGAGTGGAGGGCTCTGGAGAGGAGCTTATCCCGATTTTATACATGATGATCGCTACCTTAGTCCTGCTTTTATTAACCCGTAACAGCGTGTAGTTAACCATTTCCTTTATTTGTTGGTTTCTCCCTCTGGATGTAATGAAACCGGAAGCTCTTTCAGGGGCGTGCTCTTGTGGCCCTCGCCTCACAGGTACCCGAGGACTCGGAGGACGACGATACGTCGCCGCCGAGGGAGAAGTGCAGCATCTGCCTGAGGACCTTTCGCGAGGCGGACACCCTGAGGCGAGTGGTCAAGCACGCTGTCTTCCGAAGTCCGCCTGGTCCTGGAGTGTAGGACCACGAGGTCCTACACTGCAGTACCAGAAGTGCAGGAACTGCAGTGTAGGACCTGCAGGTCCTACACTGCCGGAAAAAAAGCGCTGCTGTTTATTTATTTATTTATTTATTTATTTTTTAGGGGGGGGGGGGGGGTACACATTGAGCGTCATTTTTCAAAGTTTGGGATCGCGTAATTTGAGAGGTCAATCCGCAGAATCCAGATCCAGTTGTAATTCTGCACATTACGTGTTATACGTATGTTTTCAAAATGTCAGCTCACGTAACAAATACGTAAACCATTTTTTTTTTCGTAAGCGGCGAGAAAGGGGAACAAAAAGGGGGAAGGGGTCGATATTATTTACCCACCTACGTCAATGAAAATTAAATGTTGCGGTCACTCTAGAGCGTCCGCATCTCCGATTATATATAGATAGACCTGATACGGTTTGAAATATTGACAGATTTCTTTAAAATATATTATAAGTCACATGGAAGGACACCGCATCAGCATCCCTGCACCCTTTACTCGACTCCCACCTTCCTTGCGTCGGCTCGTTGGTTGCGTATTTTCTCCGAATGTTCTTTATATATATATATTTATTTTATTTTTCTGTACCTCCAAAAAATACTGTTTCAAACCGAAATTCTTCCGTAGTTTAAACTATATTGTGAAGTTGAACAATGAACGGTAGCAGTCACAAGCATGATAGCTTTGACTGTCACTGTATTTTCTGTTTAGCTCTATAAAACGAAGACATATTTGGGCAGTCTCCATACAGTATACGAATATTTTACACATGTAGGGATCTTGACGTGTCGTGGAGTCCACACAAACATCTAGATTACGTCGACGACGCTCACGCGTTCTCTCTTCTAAAGTCCCCCTCGTCGTGATTACAATATGTTATTAGGCACTAGGTCATAAGTTGTCGCTAGTGTTTGAACGAGACTTTAGAGGCGAGCAAGAAGGGCCATCTGGCCGATAACGTCCCTTTCCTGGTGTTGTCTCTGTTCTTTTCTCCAGCGCTCGGCCAACATGCTCGGCGCGTTGGAACAGGTGGAGATACGGCAACATTTTAATTGGCGGTTACGTGTCTTCTGCTAATAAAATGGGGGAAAAAAAAAAAAAAAAGCTCCTAACACACACAATGTTTAAGGAACCTACACTCAAAATTTAAATTTCTTTAATTCAGAAACCTTTTCGCGCGAGCGTATTTATCGGGCAACCAGAGGTACGTGGTGTGAAAATGACAGACGCACTTGCGCGTTGTATTATTAGGGAGTTTTAGCATAGAACGATCGAACAACTCCGATAATAATACCCGATAACGACACTGTGCATGCGCAAAGGCGTTAGCGGAGCATCGCGCATCGTTTTTGGAGTTATTGGAACGAGCTGAAACAGATCATTAAAATGGATATATTTTCACATTTGCTCCTACGGTCCGCAGACCGCAGCTTGTCCCCGACATGTAGAAGCATCATCTTTAAAGGTTACAGAACGGAAGGAATAAGGCAGACTTTTTGATGCTCTTCTTGTTCTGTCAAAATAAGTCACGAAATTCTTCCCATTCGGGATCGTGAATATTAACTTACCATAATTTTACTCTGACATATATAGTAAAAAAAAAAGGACTGTTAATGATGGGGATGCATGAGTAAATGCTACATATGGGTAATTTCATCTCAAATCGTGGGAAAAAATATTCTCAAACAATTCTGAAAAAAAAAAAAAAAATGCTGGAGTTTGTAGATGCGACGACCAAAGCGAAGGAGGAGGTGTGAGAAAACCTAGTGGTAGTACATGCAGGATTAAATTATGTTTTAAAGGCACGGAGCCAGAACCTCGGTAGGCAGTTAGAGTTGAGGTTACGTAAGCTGAGGGAGGTCTCCGAGACTGCGCATGTGCAAATATGCACCATCCCAGAGGTCTGGGGACAGTCTCTAAAAATAGAGAAGCGGGCGCTGGAAGCTAACCGGGTGATAAGGGGGATGAGCCGACGATTTGAGTACGGAGCAATGTAAGTAAACAGAGTGGTGTACGAGGTTTGCTTCGACCCTTTTACACGGGGCATCCAATCCACTAGAGTGGAACCACTGGTAGCACGGTAAACTATAGGATTGGACGTCGCATCGTACATTTTTGGGGGGGTCCTAGAGCCCTCAGGGTGCCAATTTAAGTGAGGGCCAAAATGTAGATCCAGGGGGGAGGGTTTGGGAGGGCGGGAGGGAGCCTCGTAGGAATAGGAAAAAGAAACAGCTTAATATGGGATTCATAAACATGCAGAGGGCAGGAACGGAATAAAGTGGGAGGAGATCGAGTAGCAATTAGAAAGCGAAAACTTTGCAATGTATGGATTAGCAGCAACACATTTGAGGGACATGGAAGAACCACCATACATACCGGGATGTCATTGGATGCGATGCAACCTGCCCAAAGGGGAATGCAAGGGAGGGGGATTAGGGGTGTTTGTGAAGGGTCAGGAATGGGAAAGAGAACGAGAGGGCTGCAGGGAACATATGTGGATCAAAGGCAGTATTCCGGGTTTGGACACAATCCTGGGTTTTGTGCATCTAAAAACAGGGAGTGATGCAGGGGAGGAAAACGCAGAACACCTAACATGTATATGAGGAGACGGTAGAAAAACCGGCACTAACAGGGAAATACTTATCTTGGGGGACATGAATGCGCATTTGGAAGACTTTGATGGATACAACAGGGAGGATGTTAGAAGAGTTCTGCGAAGCTTTTGATCTGGTATTGGTTAATGCCCAGGTAAAATGTGATGGAAAAATAACGTGGGAAAGAAAGAACTCGCACTCGACTATTGATTACTATTCGACATCGCGGAATCTATACAACAGATTAGGAGAACTGGAAATAGGTGAGCAAGGCACAAAAAGTCTGGGGAGCGACCATAAGAGAATCAAGATCAGATTTGGCATAGTATAGGCCAGATCAAAAGCAAAAACAAGAGGGTAAAAATAAGTTCAATGATAAACAATTACAGGATGTATCTAAGCGAGTCGAGAACATAGATACCACAGCAACCGGAAAGACAATGGACTTAGTGTTTTCAAAAGAGTGTTAGAGAAATATCGAATTAAACAAGGAGGAAGAAAACTCAAACTCAAAAACTGGTGGGATAAAGAGGTTAAGCCAGCAATATCGAGACGCCAAGCGGCATTTAGAGAACAGCGATGGGCAAAGGAAAAGGGGGTCACACCAGCCGAAGTAACATCAAAATGGGATGACTTTCAAGAAAGAAAGCGGGAGGCATCAGCATTGATACAAGCCAAAATTGGGAAAGCAGGGGTCCAGTGGATCATAGAGATAAACGAGAAGGATAGAAATGCGGCAAAAAGGTTCTGGGAACACATCGGTACACTGGGGAAAAAGATCGAGGTGTACGAGCAGACACTAACCACACGGGAAGGGACAAAGGCAGAGGGGGAAGAGGCAAGAGAATACATTAGACATACTTAGGGTTCTGCGTTTTCGGTTTCTATTTTTTCAAAATTCGGCGTACTTTTTTCGGTGTTTATTTTAAAATTCAATTTTCGGTTTTTTTCGGCGTATATTTATGCCCACAAAAGTTTATTGGCTTTTTTCGGTGAATATAAAATGAAGACCAATGGACACCGGATCAGATGATCCCTGTAGCTCTAATATTTGTGATCACTCAAAGAAGAACGGCACAGATACATTGGAAAAGAAATGGACACTTTATTTGGCAAATGTGTGCAACTGTAAAAGAAAAACAAAAAACAAAAAAACTGAGAAGCACAAACAAGTCAGATATGAAGCCTATGTCCAAAAACATAGAACTTCACCTTCTGTACATCAGGATTAAGTTATCTTATTATAGTACACACACATGTACGATCCCAGGTTCTCCTCGCTGATCCGCACTCTTTCTTTCCTATTATTATGGCCCTGTGCTTCGAGAACGCCCTCTCAACACTAATACTGGACACTGGCAGGCTGAGGAGATGAAGCGCTGCCTGAGCCAAAATCGGCCAATCAACCAATTGTGATCGCCAAAAAAAGAGAGACGGTGCGACTTGTTGAAGCTCAACACAATATGCAGAACTTGCATAAAATCAGCCTTCCTTACAACAAGTTTGAAAACACGCTTGTACATGGCGAAGGTATGGGGCATTTCGGAGTTCACGTTCCGATCGATGATGCGCACATTAAACCAAGACGTCGTGATGGCACCCGTGTATCCCTTACCTTCGGACACGTTTCGATAGACACTGTCGTTCCACTTTTTCGCCACGGATCTGCGGTACGACTGGAAGGTCAACGTGACCTTTTCCGGTTAAAACTAAATTTAAAGAAATGGATTCGACGTACTTTTATCGGTTTTTATCGGTTTAAAAAAAAAAATGCCGAACCTAAAAACTGACCTTTTTCGGTTAAAACCGAATTTCCGAGAATGGATTCGGCGTACTTTTATCGGTTTTTATCGGTTTAAACCGAAAACTCCGAACCCTAGGTCACATACTATTGAAGCAACATTTTCGGAGTTAGAAACAGATCAGGCCGTAGGGAATGGTAGCGTCTAAAAAATACAAGAGGAGGACCATAGTGAAGAAGAGGAAATTACCACAGAGAATGGGAAAAAGCAGAAGGAAAGGTTCCGGTTGGAACTGCGACAGGTCCAGACGGCATACCAATGAGACTGATAAAATTCTAAGCAAAACAAGCAAATTGAAACTGAGGCAGGTGATTGACCAGATAATTATGGGAGGTGAGGTACCCAGTGGCTGGAAATTGAGCAGGATGAGATTATTATATAAGGACAAGGAAGACGAAGACAGTATCAAGTCATGCTGACCAGTCACAGTAACTTTAGTAATATAAAGACTAGCTATGCATATTGTAAAAAGAAGAATGGAAGATTGCGCAGGCGAGAAAACAGATTCTGGGGGAGCTTCAAAACAGTTTCAGGAGGGAT